ATTAGATGATCCTACCTACCGCGCGCTTTTCATTTTACCGCACTACTGCAAGAAATAGTCTAAAATGATATATGTTTTTCGTTTGTCAGATGTCAACACGCACTATGAGGTTTGAACAAAGACAATTTCTCAGTTTCAGTTTTGATGCGGTAAGAAAATGATATTGAGCAGACTGAATTAACATTTATTTTAAATTTGTTTTTTGGATACATCACATACATATACAAAGTTGTTAAATTTCGATTCCAGATCAGCTCATAATTGCACATAAGATTTTCTAATTTTGGGAACAATTTTTGGGTATGATGAGACATACTCTCCTCGCTCCGATTTGTTACGGTCCATAGCTCGGCTTCGCCTCGCACTGTTCACTGTTCAACAAAGACAATTTCTCAGTTTCAGTTTTGGTACAGTAAGAAAATTATATTGAGCAGACTAAATTGACAATTTTTTCAAAGTTGTGGAATATTTTGTATTTTGGAAACGAAACGAAATTTAAAAAAAAAGTCACTTTCCATAGGTGATGTTTCCAAAAAACAAAATATTCGTCACAATTTTGAAAAAATTGTCAATTTACTCTGCTCAATATAATTTTCATACTGTACCAAAACTGAAACTGAGAAATTATCTTTGTTGAACAGTGAACAGTGCGAGGGGAAGCCGAGCTATGGACCGTAACAAATCGGAGCGAGGCGAGTATGTCTCATCATACCCAAAAAGTGTTCCCAAAATTAGAAAAACTTATCTTGTCGAATCCCGGTCTGCGCATAAGATTTTTTTAACTTTGGGAACACTTTTTAGTTTTGATGAGATATAGTATGTACGATGGGCTCCGGCGGCTCTCGCCTCGCTCTGATTTGTAACGGTGCATAGCTCGGCTGCGTCTCGCACTGTTCGCTGTTCAACAAAGACAATTTCTCAGTTTCCGTTTTGGTGTGGTAAGAAAATGCTATTAAGCAGACTGAATTGATATTTTTTTGAATTTGTGAGGAATATTGTTTATGAAAATATCATCTATACAAAGTGACTTTTTTGAAAATTTCTATTCAACTTGTTGCATCCAGATCTGCACATAATTCACATACGATTTTAAATACTGTTATCACTTTTTGGTTTTGATGAAACATACGCTCGGCTCCGGCGGCTTCGCCGCCTCGCCTGACTCTGATTTGTCACGGTCCATAGCTCGGCTTCGCCTCGCACTGATCACTATTCCACAAAGACATTTTCTTAGTTTCAGTTTTGGTAATGTAAGAACATAATATTGAGCAGACTGATTGACAATTTTTTTGAATTTGGGAAGAATATTTTTGTTTTTTTGAAACATCACCTATATTAAATGCCTTTTTTTGAAGATTTCTATTCAGCTTGTTCATTCCAATTATGCACATAAAATTTTATTATCATTTTTTGGATTTGATGACAAATACGCTCGGCTCCGGCCGCCTCGCCTCGCTCTGAATTGTAACGGTCCATAGCTCGGCTTCGCCTCCCACTGTTCACTGTTCTACAAAGACAATTACTCAGTTTCAGTGTTGGTGTGGTAAGAAAATGATATTGATCAGACTGATTGGACATTTTTTTTTGAATTTATGAGGAATATTTTTGTTTTTTGGAAACATCGCTATGCAAAGTTTTTGGAAAATTTCGATTCAACTTGTTGACTCCAGTTCCTAACATAAATGCACATAAAACACAAATGGTAATACTTATTGGTTTTGAGGAGATATCCGTTCGGCTCCGGAATTGGTGTGAAAAAAAGTGTAATGTGTTATTGGGCATTGGTAAATGTCGTTTGCCACTGTGGACGTAGAGAGACGAGTCTAAGGGAGGGCCAGAGTTATGCCGAACTCGCCTTCGGCTCGCTCGGCATTGGTATACAAGACGCGTGTGTTAAGAATCGAAAGTCTTTGGTTATTTTACTTGGTTGGGGAAACGGTTAAAAAGAATATTTGTTTGAATTTGTATTTCGAAAAAAGTTAAAAAAAAAATAGCTTAAACATACAAATAACCTAATGTCCACCGCTGCTTGGTGTCACAGTCGATTTAGCTTCATTTATAATTTTTGTTTGAATTTGTCTTTCAAAAAAGTTAAAAAAATTTTTAAAAATCTACAAATAACCTAACGTCCCAAGCTGTTTGGCGCCACACTCTTCTTTTTCAGTTTTTTTTAAATTTGTATTTTAAAGAAGTATATATAAAATATGTAGGTATAAAAAAGCCTCGCACTGTTCAGTGTTCAACAACGACAATTTCTCAGTTTCAGTTATGGCGTGGTAAGAACATGATACTAAGCAGACTGATTTGATAATTTTTTTGAATTTGTGAGTAATATTTTTGTTTTTTTTTGGAAACAACACCTGTACAAAGTGATTTTTCTACTCAACCTGTTGAATACAAATCTGCACATAATTGTACATAAGATTTTTAGTTTCGATAACACTTTTTGGTTTTGAGGGTACATCCGCTCGGCTCCGGCGGCTTCGCCGCCTCGCCTCACTCTGATTCGTAACGGTCCGTAGCTCGGCTTCGCCTCGCACTGTTTTCTGTTCAACAAAGATAATTTCTCAGTTTCAGTTTTGGTGTGGTAAGAAAATGCTATTAAGCAGACTGAATTGATATTTTTTTTTATTTGTGAGGAATATTGTTTATGAAAACATCACCTATACAAAGTGATTTTTTGAAAATTTCTATTCAACTTGTTGAATCCAGATCTGCACAGATTTTAAATGTTGTTGTCAATTTTTGGTTTTGATGAGACATACGCTCGGTTCTGGCGGCAAAGCCGCCTCGCCTCGCTCTGATTTGTAACGGTCCATAGCTCGGCTTCGCGTCGCGCTGTTCACTGTTCCACAAAGACAATTTTTCAGTTTCAGTTTTGGTAATATAAGAGACTGATATTGAGCAGACTGAATTGACAATTTTTTTGGACACATCACCTATATAAAGTGCCTTTTTTTGAAAATTTCTATTCAACTTGTTCAATCCAAATCTACACATAAGATTTTTTAATTTTGTTATCACTTATTGGGTTTGATGAGAGATACGCTCGGCTCCGGCGGCTTTGCCGCCTCGCCTCGCTCTGATTTGTGACGGTCCATAGCTCGGCTTCGCCTCGCACTGTTCACTGTTCTACAAAGACAATTTCTCAGTTTTGGTAATTTTCAAAAAATTTCGTCCGCAGGTATAACAATAATAATAATAATTATCGTATATCGAATCCCGATCGCCTTCCGATCGATCGCCTCCAATAGAGAACTAAATATGCTATAATTTTCCCATTGTAAGTACATACCTACGAATTACCGTTTAAAAATTATAAAAGAAACTTGGCAAACACGCGATATAATCGTTTTTTTAGAAAAAAATTTCCAGAACGTGACTTTTGCAGACCTTCGGGAGAAAATTTACCACGGCGCCGTCGTCCGAGTTACCTCCTCGAGGTAAACGGAAAAAGAAAGAGAAAACTTGCCCGCAGGTATCGAATCCGATTTCGAGCCCGTATCTCTTCGCCGGAACGCGCTATTCAAAATCTCCGGTTTTTCACCTCTCACCCCCCTCCGGGGGGTGGTAGAGCGACCCGCGACCCCTCGTCTCGTAGATCTCGTCGAGATCTACAATCGCGCAATTGTACGTTTTGCTCTAACTCGAACGGTTCGGCCTGTAGAAGGCGTCAAAGTTGGAAAATGCGAAAAACCACCTTTTCGAGAGCGACCCTCCGGGTCGCGCGGTTCCCAAACGGGGCTATAGAATTGAATCGCACCCCGGCACAAATACGCTCCTCCGCGTCGCCCGACGTCTCAGAAAGCGCGAAAAAAAGTTCCGGCGAAGTTTTCGAGTTACGAATTTTTTTCTAAAATTTTCGATTTTTTCGCTTCTTATGGCAGCTACCCCGTAGGTCGCCGGAGGAATTTTCTTAACCTTACCGAAAGTTGCCCCAACTACCCCTACCCCCCCGCGCCGGCGCCTCGACGTCCTAACCCAAACCGTATAGCCAAGGCGAATTTTTATCCGAGCCCGCGCACCTCGACGACGATGCTCCCCAGCCGCTCAGGAGAATTTCCCAGTAGCGAAATTCTCGGAATCGATCCGAAATCGTCTCAAAAAGGTCTCATAAAATTTTCATCAAAATTTGGTATCGTTGAAAAGAGCATTCCTTGGGTAACAAGAATCAACAACAATATAGTTAATAGTTAATTTTTAGTTAATTTAGTTGAATCCTTCTCCGCCAGGGGGCTAGTTTTGACACTATGACCCTAAATCCTAAAAAAATCAAATGGAATGATTTTCTTTATGAAAAAGTAGCCAAATAACATCCAAAAATTCAAAGAAAATCCAATTTTAAAATTTAAGATGGCAGTTACGCCCTCTGTTGGTCAATTTTAGAACTTGAAAATATTTTCCAGCGATTCTTCATGACCGACTTATCCAATTATTTTTTTTACCTCTAAGTCATACGACGAACGGTTCTCTCAGTCTTATTGGGTCACCCGGTACATGAGGCTGTACTCACCTGTGATCACGTGATTGTTTGTGATCAGATTGGCGGCGCACCTAAATTTGTACATCGAACTTTTCTCCAGGTGGAACATGGCGACCAGCCACGGGTGCTGATCTTCTGAGGTTGCTGCACCCTGCACCACTAGCGGCTGAGTGTCTTGAGAGATGCCGCACGACAATTCGCCACGATTATCAAGCGGCTCGGGACTTCTGGTTACCGGCGCTTTGGTGGTGGTTGGGGTGTATAAGGTCGCCGGTGGTTTTCTGGTATTGGATTCGCCGTACATCGACTCAAAGAGTTCGGGACCGAACACGTGCGATCTGCGAGTCGTTGTGCTCGGCGTAATTACGTTGAAGAAGTGTTCCGGTTGCTGAGGGCGGCCGTTTACAGTAATGGCGAACTCATTAAAGGCGGTCAAAAACGTTAAGGTCTGAAATTGGGGACCTAAAAGTTGGGGGGGGGTGAGTATCGGTCAAATTCGGGCTCAGTTACCTAGGCTATGTGGCATGGAACAGTAGACTTGTCCGTTGAATATGATCTCGTCCACCTCGGGAAGCGGATTGATGGTCGGAAATGAAACGTAAAACATTACATCTCTGCCACTTTGCACGTCCTCCACCGGCGAGTACCTCTTAATCCCGATTTTCTACAAAACTATCGGTGCCGTTATCACTGTAACTCTCTTTGATATAATCACCTGATTGGTCCGTATTGGTAGCGCCATCTTCAGTTCCACCCTATATCGACCTGATAGGTCGTTTTTGAACGTCATAATCCCGTGGACTTCATTCTGCCCGCTGCTTTCGTAGCGGAAGACGTTCGGACAGGGATTCCGCTGTTGAGCTGCTATCAGTCCGCATAAAATCACGCACAGATTTAAAATTAACATCAGCACCATCGTGCAATTATCACCGATATCCCTAATTAACCGAATGGCTACTACTCAAAACCTGTTTAAATCAATGTCAACGGCTACGTACCTACGCGACTCATCTTGCGCATTGCAACCGAAAACTGGAAAGCACTAATGGGTAAATTCAACCGAAAGAATTTATGGAAATTTCGTTACGCGGCGATCATGCGTCAGTAAATAAATATTTTTCCGAACCTGATTGGGCAAAGGTCGTGCGATAAAGGAATGTTGAGAAATTTCGCGCCGCCGCTTCGGGCCTTTTTCGAAATGACGCGAAACCCAAAAAGTAAGAGTGTAGGTCGCCCCGCGATAGGCGCCCCGATTTTTATCGCGTTTCGATCTTCAAAGCAATAATAGTAAACAACTCATTTGCATATTGCATGACGGAAGCTGATGTCGTTTACCACATTACCCAAAGGAAATTGCTACTTTGCGTGTTATGTAAAGTCGGCGGGGAGACGTAGCGAAACATTCTTTTTTCTAATAAATTATCGGGCTTGTTCTTGGCTATAGCACAGGGACCATACAGGATGACGTTCAACAAATTAGAGACAAGCTAAAACAAGGCATGAAATACCGTCTGAAACCCCAGCGCCGATGTGTTCAGCTCGTCATCCCCAAAACCACCCCCTAAATGGCGTAAAAATGCTATGACCTGAAGCACAGTAGGGAAGGAACGTAAAATAAAACACTCAAATTGTGAAAAGTTTGTTTAATAATGATCGCAATTGTGAAAGCTCGGAAATTTAAGTCGAAATAAAATTACATTGCAAAACTTTTGAAAATGGTAGTTCACCGAATCAAATTAGAAATAGGTTGGGAAAAAAAGAACTTACCAATAAAAAAAACTAGCCGTCAAATTAATATCAAATTGTGTTGTAAAATTAATTGTTTGTAATGACGTGAATGCGTAACATAAAATTATAACATCACAAAAAGTAGCATGTAGACTTCAAGAGGTTAAAAACAAGTTTGGGGAATTATGGGTCAGGTGAGCAGGTACCAAGATTCTAAGAAAGGGTGAAATACACAGGATGTGACTGATCTTTGGTGCAATAAAGTCCTTTTGTTAAAAGCAAGTTGGAAAATTACATGGCCTTGTAGGCAAATTTAACTAAAAACAAGATACGTGGAGACTACTGAATCGCCACTCATTTATCGCACATAGATTCTAAACTGAAGAGCTTTGATTAGCGTAATCCCGCTCCTGCAAGATGGGGAGCCCGCCCCTGGTTTCGTGCCTACAGTTGGATGTCCACGGAATTAGGTGTCGCACTTCAATTTTGACTCCAGTTTTTTCCACCCCCGTGACTGCTTCATTCGCAGAGAAAGTGCGTAGAATCCAAAACAATTCGTACTTTTTCGATCAGACTTCTCAATCTAAAGTTAGACTAGAAACCAATTTCGAAAAAAAATTCAAAGGGCTGTAGCTTTTGAACTAGTAGCCCAATCTTGGAACTGTTTGAAATTATGGATTCTACAGGCCACATTCTATAAGAAAATTTTTTTCCTGGTCGATCTGAGACAATTTTTTTTTGGGGCTCAAAAAAAGGCAGTGTATAACCTTCCTTTTTTACCAAAAATCGACTGCACCAAAATTTCTCGGGAAAACACTTTTTCTCATTAATTTTGGTGCGTAGAATCCAAAACAATTCGTACTTTTTCGATCAGACTTCTCAATCAAAAGTTATAGACTAGAAACCAATTTTTAAAAAAAATTCAAAGGGCTGTAACTTTTGAACTAGTAGCCCAATCTTGGAACTGTTTGAAATTATGGATTCTACAGGCCACATTCTATAAGAAAATTTTTTTTCCGGGTCGATCTGAGACAATTTTTTTTTCGGGGCTCAAAAAAAGGCAGGGTATAACCTTCTTTTTTTTACCAAAAATCGACTACACCAAAATTTCTCGGGAAAACACTTTTTCTTATTAATTTGGGTGCGTAGAATCCAAATCAATTCGTACGTTTTCGATCAGACTTCTTAATCAAAAGTTATAGCCTAGAAACCAATTTCGAAAAAAAATTCAAAGGGCTGTAACTTTTGAACTAGTAGCCCAATCTTGGAACTGTTTGAAATTATGGATTCTACAGCCCACATTCTATAAGAAAATTTTTTTTCCTGGTCGATTTGAGACAATTTCTTTTTCTGGGCTCAACAAAAGGCAGTGTAATAACCTTCCTTTTTTACCAAAAATCGACTACACCAAAATTTCTCGGGAAAACACTTTTTCTTATTAATTTGGGTGCGTAGAATCCAAATCAATTCGTACTTTTTCGATCAGACTTCTCAATCAAAAGTTATAGACTAGAAACCAATTTCGAAAGAAAATTCAAAGGGCTGTAACTTTTGAACTAGTAGCCCAATCTTGGAACTGTTTGAAATTATGGATTCTACAGGCCACATTCTATAAGAAAATTTTTTTTCCGGGTCGATCTGAGACAATTTTTTTTTCGGGGCTCAAAAAAAGGCAGTGTATAACCTTCCTTTTTTACCAAAAATCGACTACACCAAAATTTCTCGGGAAAACACTTTTTCTTATTAATTTTGGTGCGTAGAATCCAAAACAATTCGTACTTTTTCGATCAGACTTCTCAATCAAAAGTTATAGACTAGAAACCAATTTCGAAAAAAAATTCAAAGGGCTGTAACTTTTGAACTAGTAGCCCAATCTTGGAACTGTTTGAAATTATGGATTCTACAGGCCACATTCTATAAGAAAATTTTTTTTCCGGGTCGATCTGAGACAATTTTTTTTTCGGGCCTCAAAAAAAGGCAGTGTATAACCTTCCTTTTTTACCAAAAATCGACTACACCAAAATTTCTCGGGAAAACACTTTTTCTTATTAATTTTGGTGCGTAGAATCCAAAACAATTCGTACTTTTTCGATCAGACTTCTCAATCAAAAGTTATAGACTAGAAACCAATTTCGAAAAAAAATTCAAAGGGCTGTAACTTTTGAACTAGTAGCCCAATCTTGGAACTGTTTGAAATTATGGATTCTACAGGCCACATTCTATAAGAAAATTTTTTTCCGGGTCGATCTGAGACAATTTTTTTTCGGGGCTCAAAAAAAGGCAGTGTATAACCTTCCTTTTTTACCAAAAATCGACTACACCAAAATTTCTCGGGAAAACACTTTTTCTTATTAATTTTGGTGCGTAGAATCCAAAACAATTCGTACTTTTTCGATCAGACTTCTCAATCAAAAGTTATAGACTAGAAACCAATTTCGAAAAAAAATTCAAAGGGCTGTAACTTTTGAACTAGTAGCCCAATCTTGGAACTGTTTGAAATTATGGATTCTACAGGCCACATTCTATAAGAAATTTTTTTTCGGGTCGATCTGAGACAATTTTTTTTTCGGGGCTCAAAAAAAGGCAGTGTATAACCTTCCTTTTTTACCAAAAATCGACTGCACCAAAATTTCTCGGAAAAACACTTTTTCTTATTAATTTTGGTGCGTAGAATCCAAAACAATTCGTACTTTTTCGATCAGACTTCTCAATCAAAAGTTATAGACTAGAAACCAATTTCGAAAGAAAATTCAAAGGGCTGTAACTTTTGAACTAGTAGCCCAATCTTGGAACTGTTTGAAATTATGGATTCTACAGGCCACATTCTATAAGAAAATTTTTTTTCCTGGGTCGATCTGAGACAATTTTTTTTCGGGCTCAAAAAAAGGCAGTGTATAACCTTCCTTTTTTACCAAAAATCGACTGCACCAAAATTTCTCGGGAAAACACTTTTTCTTATTAATTTTGGTGCGTAGAATCCAAAACAATTCGTACTTTTTCGATCAGACTTCTCAATCAAAAGTTATAGACTAGAAACCAATTTCGAAAGAAATTTCAAAAGGCTGTAACTTTTGAACTGTAGCCCAATCTCCGAACTGTTTGAAATTATTGATTCTACAGGCCACATTCTATAAGAAAATTTTTTTTCCGGGTCGATCTGAGACAATTTTTTTTTCGGGGCTCAAAAAAAGGCAGTGTATAACCTTCCTTTTTTGCCAAAAATCGACTGCACCAAAATTTCTCGGGAAAACACTTTTTCCTATTAATTTTGGTGCGTAGAATCCAAAACAATTCGTACTTTTTCGATTAGACTTCTCAATCAAAAGTTATAGACTAGAAAACAATTTCGAAAAAAAATTCAAAGGGCTGTAACTTTTGAACTAATAGCCCAATCTTGGAACTGTTTGAAATTATGGATTCTACAGGCCACATTCTATAAGAAAATTTTTTTTCCGGGTCGATCTGAGAAAATTTTTTTTTCGGGGCTCAAAAAAAGGCAGTGTATAACCTTCCTTTTTTACCAAAAATCGACTACACCAAAATTTCTCGGGAAAAAACTTTTTCTTATTAATTTTGGTGCGTAGAATCCAAAACAATTCGTACTTTTTCGATCAGACTTCTCAATCAAAAGTTATAGACTAGAAACCAATTTCAAAAAAAAATTCAAAGGGCTGTAACTTTTGAACTAGTAGCCCAATCTTGGAACTGTTTGAAATTATGGATTCTACAGGCCACATTCTATAAGAAAATTTTTTTCCTGTTCGATCTGAGACATTTTTTTTTCGGGGCTCAAAAAAATCGACTGCACCAAAATTTCTCGGGAAAACACTTTTAAGATTTTTAAAATAAATATACGGGGTCAGGTAAAAAAGAGATTGGACCTAACCTCATTTTTTTGAATGGAACACCCTGTATATTTTAATCTAAAAATGTAGGATATTAAAGTCTCTTTTCAAAAATGTAACACGTACTAGGGATGACATTTGAAAATAATTTAAGTGATTCAAAAAAATACAGAAAAAAGTGAATTTTCTAAAATCTTTGTTTACTCTTTTTGAAACAATATTAAACTTTTTTGAATTTTTTAGTTTAGGTGTTTTTGGTATCTTTTTAGATTAAAATATACAAGGTCAAAAAAATGAGGTCAGAACCGATAACTTTTTGGCTGGCCCTTTGTACTTATTTTGAAAACAGCGGGTTATTAAAATCAATTTTCTGTCTCTTTTAAATACCCCTTTTATTCCCCCCGTATCTCTTAAGCGAGGGAATATTTTGATTTGATTTGCCTATATTATTTTTTTGATAACGGAGACACCCTAGAAAAGTGTCGAAAATTGAACACTCTGTACATTATTTCCCTCTTGAGAAAAAAGGGAATCAGTTGAATTATAAAACATCATCCCTTGTGTTGTTTTTGAAAATTGAGAATTTATTATACTTACTATTTTTCTAGATTAAAATATACAGGGTGGACGATGAATGACAAGTGCTTCTAATTTAAATACCTACCTATAACATCCATTTGGACGTATTAGAGCCCCTTCTTACCAGGCAGTAAAGAGCGTAACCGTTGAAGTTGACTATGGCAGTCGAAAGCGTTATGCCCAAGTTTTTGGCACTTAAAGCACTGCACAATCCGGGCATGTTCTTGTATAAGGCAGGCATAGTCCTTTGATAAATAGGCGGAGTTTAACGTGTGTGTGGGGGGGGGGGGAATTCGATAGAATCCTGATAATACTAACTTTATTGGATTACAATACTTGAATACACTCATAGGTTGAACATCGCATGAAACTAGCACTTACAGTATGAATCAAATATAAAAAAATGAAAGTGAATGCATGATTTGTACTAAAGCATGGCTACAGTATAGTAGCGGAATTAATTAGTAATTTGTCTACAATGATGGTTAGACCTTTGGTTATGTACAATGGACAGCTTTCCTGAAACAAACCTCAAACGTTATGTACCTACTCGATCAATCAATTTTACGTAATTACACTACTCTCAAAAATGCAACAAGCAACGATCGTTCTTAAGTACAATTCCTTACATGCAGCCTATCTACCACATAATTACACCAATGCATTTACCATCCAGGCGTAGTATTGGCAAGACGACGAATTCTACGCGTGTTCCTGTCTTGATCCCGGATTTTCTTCTCCATTTCGGCGTCCGTTAGCGTCTCCAAGAATGGAGCCCATTGGTCCGACTCGCTCGCGGCCCGAAACGGTACCTAATCAACAACAAATGCGTCAGTGATTGCCCATACGGATTAGCGCAAACCTCAATGGTCGAAAGCGGCGCCTCGCTAAACGCATAGGTGCGCTGGTGCCACGATAACTGACCGCGTACGGAATAGGCGATGGCGGTCACGAACTCGCCGCCCAATCCCAGCTCGGAGCAAAGTTTCAACGCGAACTGTTCCGGATTGTTGTCCCTCTCCGACATGTCCCATTCGACCTATAAGAACGTTGAGAAAATCGTCACGCTCTCGGAAGGCGAAGTACCTGATCGACGAGCGAGGTGTTCCCCACGTGTATATTCAATTTGATAATGACACGCTGGTCGCACGATTCCTCCATAATTCCCGTCGACTCGGCGGGAAACGCCTCCAACTGCTGGCGGATGGACTGCGCGATCGCGGGTACGAATGTCAAAGGGTTCAAATCCAAATCGTCGCAGAGCACCTCGGCGAATTGCTCGGGTGCGATCATGCTTTCTGAAAATGACATTGTAATCGAACTATGGAACCCAATGGGTAATGGAATACCCCCCAGGAGACACATTTAGACCATTTTCAATAAAACACCCTGAGTGTTATAGGGAATTTTAGTTTGCTAGGGGGTCTTAGATCCCCCCTGGTCACCATATCTGCCACAAATCTTTTAGTCTTGGGGAGTCTCATGATTTTTTTAATTACAATCAAGCACCCCGAGTGTTATAGGGAATTTTAGTTTGCTAGGGGGTCTTAGATCCCCCCTGGTCACCATATCTGCCACAAATCGTTTAGTCTTGGGGAGTTTCATGATTTTTTTTATTTTCAAGCAAGCACCCTGAGTGTTATGGGGAATTTTAGTCTGCTAGGGGGTCTTAGATCCCCCCTGGTCACCATATCTGCCACAAGTCGTTTAGTCTTGGGGAGTCTCATGATTTTTTTAATTTTCAATCAAGCACCCTGAGTGTTATAGGGAATTTTAGTTTGCTAGGGGGTCTTAAGATCCCCCCTGGTCACCATATCTGCCACAAATCGTTTAATCTTGGGGAGTTTTTTTTTATTTTCAAGCAAGCACCCTGAGTGTTACAGGGAATTTTAGTTTGCTAGGGGGTCTTAGACCCCCCCTGGTCACCATATCTGCCACAAAACGGTTAGTCTTGAGGAGTCTCATGATTTTTGTGTGGAGAAAATGATCTTCTCCTAAGAAGGACTGTGGGGAATGTAGCACCGGAAGGTCTGGAATACCCCCCCCCCCCTCTCAGTACATACATTAGACCCCTTACCATTTTCAATCAAGTACCCTGAGCGTTATAGGGAATTTTAGTTTGATAGGGGGTATTAGATTAGGTGGTGAGGAAAGGGGGGGAAAAAAGCGTCAATTACCATTCTTGTTCCAAGTGAACGTGTCCCGCAACTTCTGCCCTTCGATTTCCATATCCAAACGTATCGGCACAAGCAGTTCACCTTTAACCGAGTTCTCCACGTTTGCTTGCGGATCGGTATCATCGAAACAGAACGGGAAGGTCCGTACCTTCTTATTCGAGACCCGATTGCGATTTATGGGCGTCGCCTGGGGTACGGCGTCCAGGTGACTGGAGTTGGGCAACGAGGGCACCCACTGTATCGACTTTTTCGCTTTGCCTTCGCGCGGAAGAGGCGGGTCCGAGGTGTGCACCGACACCGCCTTGTACCTGTCGACGAAAATAAGTGACCGAGGTGCAATCGTACCGGCTTACTTCTCGTCGTTCCCGTCGATGATGTCCTCGACCTCGGAGGACCTCAGCAAAGAAACGCTACTGGCCAGTACGTGTTGACTCAGCCCGATATCGATCAGTTTCTTGCGTTCTTCGTTGGTAATTGTCCTCCGGTACATGCCGGGGTAACGCTTGTAGAGTGAGCCCCGGAACAATCGCAGATAGTTGCCCACCTTGGAGGAAGCTTGTAATGCACGGTATACGGAAGGTGTTCGGTACTTACCTCGGAGCCCACGCAATAAAATTCGCCATTCTCTTCAAGTTGGAAGCTTATGGGCTTATCACCAAATGTCCTTATCGCCATTTAACAAGCTACAATTATTTAAATTACAAATGCAAGTAAACACACGATTGAGGTTATGAAAAGTGTAACAAATGGTAGTGCCAACCGTCAACAAGACAAAAGTAACGGTACGTTGCCAACTTTATTTGTTAAGCGTATAGGGTGATTAGAAAGATTCCGTCTGGGTTGGAAAGTGACTGAAAACAAATCGGGTTTTAACTCCCCTTACATTTAAACGTTGAATAGCAATTTCACCTGGCGTATAATGTGAAGATTAGTGAATATCCATACCGCACCCCTGGGATAGGTGACTGGTCCCTCGTGCGGAAATCTCCACGCCCGACATTGTGTTCTCGAGATATAAGGAATTATAACCGACGTCGATAAGAAGTCGGAGAGGAGAGATCTTTCCTTTCGTATCCTAGTCAGGTGATTTTAGTATTTGTAATAACTAATGCCATTTATTAGAGGCAAAAAGATACATTAATAGTAAACATGCATTCTATCAATTGGGTGTTAAACATACGCAATTATTGTTATAGTCACAACCACCAAGTACTGCCAGATAATTTCTTGCAGAACTCATAGCATATTCCTTTTTCGCAAAAATAATCGGCATCTATTGTTATTGATAGGTTATTACAAATTTGAATTTTGCTTTAATTTTCAAATTCAAGTTTCGTAGTTTTGTGCTGTAACCGTAACAAAAGGTAATGCACTTAGTTTTAATGGTAATTATTCATTTTGCCATCAGCTGCTTATAATTTAACGGTAGGAAGTGTTGAATTGAATCAATTTGTATGTGGAAGTTTCACTGTTAAGTTTTCCAGCTATTTGGTTTGTTTAGGATTGGCCATATCTTAATTGTGATCTGATGTTTAGACTCATTGATATCGATTTGCGATTTCAATCTTTTGGTGAATCTGCCTTGTTTTGAATATATGTGATTGAATTCAGTAAATACATAAGTAAAGGGTTACCATCTACATTCAAGTAACACACATTTATAGATTAATTGAATAAAGCAAATAGCTCACCTGATATTACAAAGCAAAAGCACACAGTAATGATTAAGGTATCACAAAATATTTCAAGACAAG